TATTTTCCTGTTAACTCCCCTGCCATCCTGGATTTTTGACTCTCCATAGAAGTGGTATTGCTGAATAAAATCTTAGTTTTCTAAACCTGCATCTTTTAATACTTGTCAAGAATTTACTCTATAACCAGATTCCACAGCAGGCACCAGGGAAAGCCATGCCAATGTGTCCTATAGTTTGAGTGTTCATTTTTCATTAAATAAAACATCCCACAGCCCCCGCTATATCTTCTCAAGTTCATTATGTAAATGCAACTTCCTCTAATAATCCTGCATCATCCCCCCTTCCTGGCTGTACATGATTAATCCCTCCTCTTTGTCCTTATAACTCTTTATAATTCATCACATTCTAATACTGACTGTATTTTGCTCTCTATAACAGAAACACGTGGGTATCTTTCATGCCTAACAGCTAGCATTTACTAAGCACTTCATTATGTGCCATGTACTGTGCTAAGCACTTAATTGCTTTCTCTTTTATTCCTCAGTCTGAGGAGGTATGTTCATTCATATTATTGAATAACCAAATTGATGTTTAATGAGATTAAATCACTTGCCCATTGCCATCTGTGTTCTGAATACTGTACACTTTCTTCAAAAATTTTCAAAAAGTGTCCTTTTATCACTCCATGGTTTTCAACCATGTCACAACACGTTAAGATAGAAGTAGTGTATACATACCAGTGTAGATAAAGAACTGTTAGGATTCAGGAGAATAGGCCACAGAAAAGATCAATTAGGGCCAAGGCAGCCAGAGAGGTATTTGTGGGGGAGATGACATTGAAGACGAGTATGGGGAAAACGTGGGCAGATAAGCACTTAGAATTTATTTCTTGACAAGATTGTCCTTTTTCTGCTGTTGACTGGTGAGAGAGAGTGGGACGGAGCAAGAAAGGGGAGGGAGTGAGCAAGCCAGCAGGAGAATGAAGAGCACATTGGGTCACTGTGAATCCAAACACCGGCTCTTAACTACTATGATGTAGCATGTGCACTATGCACAGTAGGAACACAGAAAAAGTTCACTGAACTAAAAAGTTATTTGTTAAACTAGATTCAAACCATCTCTTCTAAGTTGTTTCCTTACCATTTTTTTGATTATAATGAAAAAAAAATATTTATGAACCTGAAAGAGCAAAAGGATCTGTTTTCCCATGCATCCTCCTTTAAGTGAAGGCCTTAACGTGAATTCCAATATATTAGTGAGAAATGTGCAGGATAGCCGCCAACTTTAGTATATTCAGCCCTTGTTACTAGTTCTTGCTTATTTAGGAAGCAAACAGACTTGCCAATGATAGCTGGTGACTGAAAACAAATACTTGATTTTGTTTTCTCATCCTACTCAAATTCTCAAACAAGTACTTTATACAACTCTTCTAGAGAGTGAAGATTCTTAGGTCTCCACCAGATATATTTCTGACAAATTTGATGTGTTGAGATAATGATAACTTAGTGAGACCAAGCCTTTTTTCCTTCCTTCCTTTTTTTTTAAAAAAACTATATATCTGATCAAAATGTCAGGATTTTGTGGCCAATTATAGAACACATTCACAGAAAACCTGGTGAAATAATGTCATTTGTTGGCCTTCAACTCCCCACTTATGATTAGGCATGCAATTCTAAACTTGATTTACAGAAGATGGAACCCAATTCTCTGGCCCCAAGCCTGAATGCTGGGATGGCAGAAACCCATGCTGGAAAAATTTCGTTTTCCACATAGATGAGGGTGATTAATAGAGAGGTTCTTTTCAAATCCAACTCTCAAGCATAAGCTGTTATGCTCCCTAAGCTGGAAAATGGAATCCTGGGACTGATTACTCCTAGACCAAATGATTACTGACACGAGTTTGAAGGTCAGCACCATAGTAGGTAAAGCAAAACAATGAAAAGAAACAAATTTAATGAAAAGAAAATAAAAACTCTATATATTGAAAGTAGAGACTAATTTGTCTAACTTATGCCAATAACTCATGGAAAAATCCATTGAGAACAATTTAAGCAAAAGGAAAATTAATTTAAATGACTTTTTTTCTCTAGAGAGAAATAAATCAATATTTTGCTCACTTACTACAAACATTAAGAACACAGCAAAATCTACTAAAAACAAACAGAAACCCTTACAAAAGTAGTAAATTAAATAAAAGATAAAATGACAGTAAAAAAAAATCATGTTGCTAGATTACATCTTAAATGCTTTTAAAAAATACAGCATAATTTTATATTATGGTCATTTTGTGTATGAGGGGGTGTATGTGAAAATGGACAGTAGAAGGTGAAGCCAATATAAAGTTTTAAGACAGATGTGCAGTATACACAAATACCCAAGGGATAAAGAGTCAGATGTGGCGAGGCAGAGCAAGTAATTCAGAGAAACAAACACATGAAGGCACTCTGAGAAAAAGACAGAGACAGAAACAGAAGGCGCAAGTATGTATAAATGCTCATATATAAAAGAGCACCGAGGAGAGGGAGAGCTAGAAAGATAAATATTTTCATTAGTTCAACAAATATTTGTTGAGGGAAAAACAAATCTTGAGAGCTGGACGAGGTAGACAGGGGAAGCTCTGTGGGTCTTCAAGTTTGGCTAAATGGACTCCTGCTGTTGACCAAAATGGAACAAAATTGTTTTTTAAGGGGCCTACTATGTGCAAAAACACTAGGCTAAGACACTAAAGAATACACTTGGAGGAGTTGAGTAGACCCCTATTAAATGTTGGTTTGCTGATTTCACCAGTTTTTTAAATGATGTACTTGCTGGGAGCTTAAAAATTGACCTTTCTGCAGTAGCAAGTAGGATTTCTGCTTTGATTGTTTCATTTGAGATTATAAAGGTTTTAGGCAGGTATGCAGAAACGAAACTTTCCTTTTGCACCTCCAGAGATCAGAAGCAATAAATAACAGGCAGGAGGGGAAATCTCTTTGCTATGTGAAATGGCTTGTTGGCCTAATCTTTGTTCTTGGAAATATCAGTCTTGCCTCATTACCTGGTGTCCCGAGATATTTCCATCTCTTACTTTTTCTTTTTATATCCATTGCTATTTTGGGCTCAACTGGTTCTTAGTGGAATGAACAATCACACAAAAGTTGTACATCTCTCATTCCCCAGTTATCTAAAATCAGCTCTGGAATAAACTTTATGAATAAATAGTTCCCTTTTAAGCCTACAGATAGGGCAGTATTGGTCATGAGATACATAATGTGAACTATACATTTCCTTGGAGTTATATTTAAAAAGGCTTTAAAGGTGAAATTAGTCTTAACATTATATTTAACAGAGTATATATAATCATCACTTGAACATGTAGCCATTTTAAAATTAATGAGGTATTTTGCCTCTTTTTTCATACTAAGTTTTTTAAAATAATTTTTAAAAGTTTTATTATGTATTGTGCATACAGAAATGGGGTACAAGCCAGAGTTGCAGGGATAGAGGATTCACCAGAGACAGAATGGAGGGCAGAACAGGCAGATGGATGAAGTACACTGCTGAGGGGAGCAGCAGGCGGGTCAGGATCTGCCTCACCAAGTGGATCACCTCCAGGGTCTGGGAATGAACTTGCACAGAAGCGACTGTGTCTTGCTTGCAGTGCTGCATCATTACCCATTGCACCACCAGGGAGGGCCCTCATACTAAGTTTTTAAAATCAGATACATATCTCAACCTGGATTAATCACATCTCATAACCTCAATTGCCACATGTAGCCAGTGGTTACTATATTGGCAGGTAAAGATTTAGAATGATGCTTTCCAAGTCTCTTTTTATAATAATGATGTGTTTTGAAACTGCCCTGTGGAGTTTACCATTTGGGCAAGAAGACATTGAGATGAGGTTTGAATGTGAACTTGAGAAAGTATGGCTTCCGTACTTAGGTAAATAAAGACCAGCTCATCAAAGGTTAAGAAGGAAATAAATGAAGCCTGTGCTGTGCTGCACGTAGGTGAAGTGTTTAAGCCCTCAATGTGTACCCTGAACCTATTGTAACCTTTGGTGAAGCTTCTATCACTGTAGACCAAGTTTCCTAAGGGCCCACACCATGATTACACTTCTCTTTTCTCTAGTACCTAGCACAGTGCTTGGTACTCAATAAATGTGCAAAAAAATTAAATTAATCCAAATAGTTTATTTTCACTAGACACATGTCAAGTGTTCCACAGCCACATAAGGCTAGTGGCTATCCTCTTGGAAAGCACTGTCCCAGAGCAATGAGCAGAATCACTATTTGACTTGTTAGGTGATGGGGTTGTCGCTAGAAGGAACACTTCTATTATGTATGAGGAAGTCAAAGTACAGTGACAGGAGCACAAGCATAAAAGGGAATATCATTTAGTATCCTAGAAAGTTCTACTGTAAGAGGATATGCAGCCACATATTTCTTCAATAGTTTCTACCACCCTCTCAGTCTTCTTACCTTAATTCCCACTAGGCACAAGACTTACAAGTACCCCTTTAAATTCTACCCAAAATGTGTAATGAATATTTTTTCTCTTACTTTCCAAGATAAGTTGGCAATTCCAAAAACCCACTTTAGTACAAAAGCTAGAAAAACAAAAGAAAATACACAAATTATGAACACTAGTCAAGTTTCTATACAATATAGAATTTTCTGAATTTCAGATTCCCAGGAAAAGCAGTAAAGCACTTTACGTACTATATTTTCTTATCAGAAGACAGACTATTGACTGCATGCTAGCATAATTTTGCAGAGACACTGGCTGGATCCCTTCTTTGCTAGCCCTTGTCTTAACCAGTAGAACTTGGGAAACCATCTTGGTACCTGGTATATGGGAGTCTTGCACCTAAATCTTGTCTCACTTTCCATTTAAAGACATACTCGTTAAGAATGCTTTACACTGTCAGGTCCCAAATAGTGAAGATTCTAGCAGGAAGCACCTCCAAGTTAATTATCAGAAAATGAGAAGCATAATTATCAGAATGCCAAGCTGTTACCGAATTTTAAATTGTGTCTCTAGTGATCATACTTGATATTAAAAAAAAAAAACTTACCCTTGACCAATTTTTTCAAATCTTGTGTATTTCTTCTTTGGGTCACCAACACTGACAATGCTTCCTGTTGGGGAGGGAGTAGAGAGGGATAAAGGAGAAAGAAAGAGATTGAAGTTGACTGATTAGTTTCTCTTTAACACCAAATCTTATGATGCTAGCGTGTATGATAAATAGAGCAATGTTCCCTTGTGATTTTTGTAATTTATATGTCTAATTTTACATTTTGTTAACCATTATATTATGCTAAAGTATTAGGAATCACCCACACTGTTATGATTCAAACATGTGGAGTAAGTTCAGAAGCCATGTTTGGCTCTGGAAAGCAATATCGGTTTTGCTATTTCAGAATATCAACCCCACACTCAGAGGATCAATAATTGCCCCCACTCAGAATAATCTAAATTAAGTTGGCATGGCATCTTCAGTGCAGTGCTCAAATGTGTGCAGAAAATGCCTGGGCCATTGCAGCCTCTGGGGAATAAGAGTGAAGCTTCTCAAGTAGACACGTTGAAGGACATTCAAGTGATAACTCTGGGCCACCTTGCTTTTGGGAGTTGCACACCTCAGTAATGCTCCTAAGAGTCGCTTACTAACATGGCTCCTGTTCTAGAGTCTGTTTCTGAACTAATCAAGGGAAGAAGGTCTGTAGATTCTGCCTCTTGTCACTCTCATTCATTCCATCCTCTCCATGCCCACAAAAAAAATGTCCCTGTTCAGGCTTCAGACACCTCTTGTCCAAATACTTACGCTGGCCACACCTATCTCTAACCCCTGCCTTCTGCAATTCCTCTTCCACAATGCTTTTGGAACAGGAAGATCATATAATTTATCAACCAAGACTGTCCTGGGTGAACAGTGGTTTTGTTCCATTGTTCATAATTCCCCAAAAGTCCCCCCTCCCTATGGGATCAAGTTCAAATGTCTAAGTGTGGAATACTGGCCCTTTCCCTCCCAGTACCACATAGTCCTCCCTTAGCAGTCTAACCTCATAATAGTCCTCTCTTCTTCATCCCTGACATTGTTGTACTACTAATGCAAACTCTTATCAAGGCTTCAGTCTTTGCTCCCTTTGCCTTTACTATCTAAGCCATGGATCCCTATTTACATTTACCTATCAATTATCCTCCTTTGTAACCACCTTCTCTTATCCTCCCAGCAAGGTTTACCTGCTTTTTCTTGAGCACAGGATACTTGTCTTTTCAGCCCAGTAACTTCAGTGCCTAGAACAATGGTTACCACAGAACAAATACTGACTGAGAAGATGAAGAGTAAGGAAATACGTATTCAAGGGCTAAATTGTGTGCTGCTAACAATACCTTGTGTTAATCTAGACAGTGACCGATTTTCTGGACTAGGGAACAACTTAATTCCAGCCTACCAGTAGATAGCATACTTTGCGAAAAGGGCAATGTTTCTCACATGGATTATACACCAGATTGTTGGATCTTTATTGTTTATTTTTTGTGCGTGTGTGTGTGATGAAAGTTTGTGTTTCACTTAGTTTAAACAGAATTGAGCCAATATGTAATGTATGATCTTGTAATTCTTTTTTCTTTGGTCATGGTACTACCATCCACCCACACAATAGCCCAAGTCAGAAATCCTGCTGTGATCTTTGCCTCATCTCTTACCTTCACTGCCCACATGAGTTGTCTGAGTCCTGGATCTATATCCATTTACCTCTAAGATACCTTCAGGATACCTTTACCACTGCTGTTCTTGTTAGGTTTTCTTCTGTTGTTGTCTGGACCATTCCAACAACCTCCTGATTGGACTCTCAATTGCTAATCTCTGCCCACCCCAGTTCTGGATCTAGGAATTAAAGGTTCTTCATGACTGGGCTCCTGCTTCAGTCTCCATCTCATCTTTCATCACTTCCTCATTGAAACCTTATGCTGTGGCCATAACAAACTTGTTGTAACCTATGTTCAACTTCTACGTAATAGTTTAGCTTTCCCTCCTACAACTTCAATCTACCCTCCACCACCATTTCTATATTCAAGTGACATTAAGTTAGATGGCATGTGCCTTCATGCCTTGTTTACATGCTGTTCTCTGCTTGGAATAGTCGTCTTTTGTTTTTCTCATTGGCAAGTTAAACTCATGCTTCAAAACTCAGTTTTGGTGTTGTTTTTTTCTAGGAAGTATTCCCTGATTTTTACGAATACAGCTAAAAAATCTCCCTGCTTCCTCTGTAGTTAGTATATCAGTGTGTGTTCACACAATGCTAGGTGTAGAAAATGCACCCATGCAGAAAATACAAAATTAGGCATTTCTTTTGGTAGATGCCATATTTTTTAAAAGACTATTTATTTATGATTACAGAACTGGGATATAGGCCAGAGGTGTGGTGGGTGAGAGGATTCACCAGAGACAGAGTGGGGAGCAGAACAGGTAGAGGCACTGAAACACACTGCTGATAAAAGCAGCAGGCAGATCAGGACAGGTCTGCCGCGCCATGTGGGACAGTTCCCTTGTCTGAGGACTGAACTCAGGCTGCAGGGGCTTTGGAGAGCTTCATAATGCAGTGCTTTAACCCACTGCACTACCAAGGAGAGCCAAGATTTATGTACTTATTTATGTATACAGAACAGGGTTACAGGCCAGAGGTGCAGGGCGGTGAGAGGATTCACCATAGTCAGAGTGGGGGGCAGAACAGACAGATTGATGAAGTACACTGCTGAGGGGAGCAGTGGGTGAGACAGCAGAGATCTGCCACACCTTGTGGATCACCTCCAGGACTGGGGATGGACCTGGCACTGAAGCGGCTGCCAATAGATTACAGTGCTGTGTTCTAACCTGTTGCACCACCAGGGAGGGCCCTAGATGCCATATGTTTTAAGACAGGGGTTCAAGGTTGTATTTTACTTGAGCTCTATAGAATGCCACCAATTTAACAATGTCTAAGTTGCTATTTCAGTTTTCAGTTTCTCAAACAGATTTCTATATCACTGGGAACTATCCTTATTCAAGCCAGCCATTAATGGATAAGGGCCTGGACTTTTCTCTTTTTAATAAAATGACGGTAAAGTCATTTGAGACCATAATTTTATTAAACAGTTCATAGTCTTCTAAGAAAGTTACACTATTAAGTTGCTGAGCAAACTCTTTTCCATAGTCTGAACAAAAGCAAATATGCTTCAGCCCAAGCCACTTTCTGAATTATGACCCAATTGGCAGGGTTCAGCTAATGAGGTTTTATGGTAGTAAATTATTCAACCTTTATTTCCATGGTATGCAGGATAAAAAAAAAAAAGTACAACAACTGGAAATAAATCCTGTCATGAGGATTACCAAAAGACAACCATGTTGATGAGAACCTGCTTTTGAATTTTAACTGCTGTTCAAATAAAATGGCGTCCCCACGCCCATTATCCTCCACCAAAGAGTGTGTACTGCCACCTACTGATGTGAGGCAAGTACACACGAGGCCCTGTTTACAGTCCTCACACACTAAACCAGCTTTCAAAGTGACCGCTTTCATCAGAGCCGTTATAATTTGCTGTTGTAAATTACAGCAAAGAAAAACATGGTGACACTGAAAGGGGGGGAGGGTAAAATAACAAAAACCAGGAACTCAAAGCAAAAGGCCAAAAAAAAAAAAGAATGATTAGCAATACCAGAACAATTTCCTAACAGAGCAATTTCCTAAATTAGAAACAAACTATTCATTTTCAAGTACAAGAATTTAAGAAATCACTAAATACTACTATTTGAAAATAGGCTTCACAATGTGGCTTCCCTGGCGGAAAAGTCTATCAATATATTCTCCAACATATTAGACTAAGTTCAACTCCAACCATTGAGTAAAATCAAGATTTTAATTTCTGAGAAAAAGCAAATTCCCTAAATTAACATTAGTTCTGACAGTGAACTGGAGAAAGTTTTGAGTGGGGAATGTGGGGGGAGGAAAAGACAGAAGGTGGTGGTTGTGGGGTCCAGAGGAGGGAGGTCGAAGACAAATTTCCTGAATTGCACGATTTTGCTGACAGCACCTTTTGAAATTCTGCACTAAAATGTAAGGGTTTCTTTATTTTCCAATAGATTCAGACAGGCCATAATGAACAAGCCAGACACAGGCTATCTGTCTGTGTAATACTGAAAGATGATCTGCCCATTCCAAGCATTTGTGGTCCCCTGGCTGGCCCCACAATGGGTGTCTGCATGGAAGATGAATAGCTTTGTGACTCTGTGGGCTGGGCTGCCCACCTCAGGGTAATCAGATCCCGAGACCAAGGGAAGGCTACCACTCTTGCCCACCCCCCATGCTCATGGGGGTCCACACCAGTATCAGCTGTAGTCCATATCTGTATCTCCTCTTGCCCCTTCCCCAGGCTCCACGGGGTCCCTGGTAACAAGGCCTTCCATGACTTCTGCGCAAGCATCACCCACCAAAGACTATTCCTGTTTTAGATTTTTCCCCATGGGAAGATCTGCTGCCTTTTTTTTTTTTTATGTTGAAAACTATGATAGCTCTCGTTTTGCAAAAGTAGCATCGTAATTTCATGCTACTATTTATTGTATGAGATGTCTTAGCTACTTTGCCTCCTTTAGGCCTCACTAAAACCCTGTATTAGTGCCATTGTTATCTCCATTTTTTCAGAAGAAAAACCTGAAATGTCAAGGAATTAAGTGACTAGTCCAAGTACATACAGCTCATCTGGGTCTATGACTCCTACCCAGTTATCAGTCATTTCAAAACCTGTCTCACTGTGTAAGGTTTTATACTGATGTAATAAAAAATAAAATAGTAACTATCACTTTTGGGGTACTTACTATGGACTCCACGCTATTGCTGAGGTTTTTGCATGTATTATTCTCATTTGGTTGTCCAAATACTATTAGGCTAGTACTATTATTATCTTTCTTTTTTTTTTGTAAATTAAAAGGTTGAACAGTTTTAAATAATGTATCCAAAGTGATAACCCTGGGAGCAATGGGCCTATAATTTGAAAATGGGTCTTTATTCTAATACATACCTCTGAGCCAAAGGTTGAGCTGCCCAAAATCCATCAAATAGAGAGAGTCCTAAAATGTAGTTATGATTCTTATTCCAGATAAGAAACTGATGCTGGGGGCTTCACTGCTTAGCCTAAGTTTACCTAGTAAATACACAGGGATGGCACAGAGGAGGGTGTTTGTGAAGTGAGAGCAGGAAGAGCGACTTTGCAGATGAGCTCAGCCTGATAAGCACTCTCGGCCCTGCCTGGCTGCATAATGGGTTCAAGTGCAGCACTGCAAGCCAGCCGCAGCTGCTTCAGTGTGAGTTCGATCCCCAGCCCCGGAGGTGACCCACATGGTACAGCAGACTTCTGTCTGGCCTATTGCTCTCTTTGGCTGTGCACATCTTCCATCTGCCTCTTCTGCTTTCCACTCTGTCTTTGGTGAATCCTCATTAAAATCATAGTGCAAAAGCACCTCACCAATTGCTCGTTATCCACTATCAGCACACCTGATCTAACTCCTATTCCTACCTCCTCAGGATAGCTCTTGCTTCTCCCAGTCCAAGATAAGAGCCCTTCTTTACTGCCTGTATTGCAGTAAATATCACAGGTACTAGTCTTCTCTGGATGATGAGCTCCTCAAAGACAGAGACTCTTCTTTTTCTGTATGTCTAGCTCCTAATAAAGTGCTTTGTACGTACAAGGCATTCAGTACATGCATATTACTTTTCTGTTCTATACAAGAATCTTTGAAGGAAACAATAGAATGATAGAAAACAATTTCCTACCACCAAGATACTTACAATTTTTTTCAAAGCTAAGATTTAATACCAGAATGCAATTACAGAATAGGAGACCATGGAGTTTCATGCCCTGTGAAAGACCTCAGAAAAGGAGAGAGCAGTAGGGCTGTAAGCTGCAGAAAGCCTGAGGGGTACTTTTAGGATTACCTTGACCTTCAGGGGATATTTGGCAACACCTGAAGCCTTGACCCAGGCAGTGTGGCTGGCATTTAGTGGATACAGGCCAGGGTGCTTCTAAGCACTCTGCAGCTCAGGAGAATACCCCCTTCTTCTGAAGCGGTTATTTAGCCCAAAATTCTAACAGTGCTGAGGGTGACACATTCTGAGACTTGCAAGGCAGAAGTTTAGGTTGCAGTTGTCAGTGAAGGCTTGAAACTGGTATCGCTGGATTGTAGCCAAGTGACTTCACATGATTCGCTATGCTGCCAGCACCAGTGCCGGCTGTGTGCCATAATAACAACAGTCACCATTCCCATTTATTGAGTACTTTTCGTGTGCGCCACTTCACATACTTTTTTACAATCAGCTGTTGTGGTAGATTTTAATACTTTCATTTTATAGATAGTGAAAGTAAGCCTCAAAAATCTTGAGTGACCAAGCTCATGAGTGGCAGGGCCAGAGATGGAGGTCGTATCTGTTTACATTCTAAGCTAACACTCTTCCTATTACCCACTTTGCTTTTACATGGCCCAGCTGTCTATTTGTGTAAAAGGACAGAATGAATGAATTGCCTGAACAATTTCCATGTGTTATTCAGAGAGTTGCCTCAAAATTTTCTTTTATTTTGTACATGTAGATGTGACCTATGTGATTGTAGCAGATTTTGCCAACCTAAAAGCCTCATTTTAGTAAAGATGACATTTAAGAGAAACGACTGCATTGTTGGAACCTGCTGATTTTGACTGACTGTGTCGGGCTCTGAGGTTGATTTACCTATTGTGATTGATTGGTTGGGGGCTCTTGGGGCATGATTATAATAAGATATTTCAACAGACGATCTTATCCCTTTGGGAGTGCAATCTTAAAATGAAACTTAAAATGTAATTCATTTTGTCAAGATTTCAACTTAATTGACTTTTTTCAAGTGAAAACATTTAGTTTCTGTCAAATTAGGAGTGTGAGTGTGGGTGTGATATGGAATACACAGCCCACCCTAAACTTTTCATCTGGTGACTTCTGAGAGTCTGGAGTTCAGATAAGCAGGTTCAGATGTCTGAAGGATCAATTCACATTGAAAATGGTTAATGAGAAACCCCCGTGTGAGGAAAGCAGTGATGAGGGGAACACTCACTCAGTTTCTCTAAGATCTCCTCGTCTGTCATTTTGGATTTTTTCCTTTGCCGATCTGTGTTTCTGTACAAAGTACTGGAATTGGCGTTCTCAGCAGAAGGTGGTGTGACTTCTTTATTTGGTGCTGCTGGTGAAGCAATGGATTCAACCACAGAACGAGTGTAGATCTTAAGGACAGAAACAAACAGTTGTACAATTAAAACTGCAGGTGAAAGAAAGAGTAGGGAATCAAGACACTGTCCTCTCAATGGGTTATTTTAAATTAAGATTTAATTTTTAAACAAGGTTGAAGTTCACTGCATAATGGACAAGAAGATGGAGGTTTCCATGTCCTCTGCTCCCCCATTATGAACACACCCCAGCAGAGTGGTACATTTCCTTCAATTCATATACCGACACAGACACACCAAAATTTCCCAAAGCCCAGAGTTTATATATGGTTCACTCTTAGTGCCGTATGGATAAATATATAATAAAATGTATCCATCGTTATGGTTCAGACAATATTTTCACTGCCCTAAAAATCCTCTGTATTTACCTACTTTATCTCCCCCCACTGCCTCCCCTAACCTCCAACGAGTTTTTAAAGGCGAATGTTTTCCATTTAAAAATAAAATTTAGTCACTTCAAGTACACAGCCTCTGAGAGCTCTCAGGAGCTAATGTTTTGAGGTCCCCAAACATTCTCTGCTAATTCTGGTCTGGGTGCCTCCATTTATGGAAAGCTGCATTTTCTTTTTACTGCAGCAGTTTTATAAATGATTTAGCATGTATTTGTGTATTATTTGGCATTATTCTTTCATTGCCCTGTAGTAATATCATATCTTTATAAACAGCAACCACAACAAAGATCATACGTATACTCTAATTCTGGAAACAGTATAAATGTTCAATAGCTACTCACTGATAGCTAGATTCTAACTCTGTAAATGTTGCAAAGGATATCAGTTGAGTCATTTCAAAATAGTCATTTGTGACTTACTGATTTTGTGTGTTCTGGTCTTGGTGCAATTACAGGTGGGGGCTCATTGTCATCTTCCTCCTCTTCTTCCTCTTCGTCTTCTTCTTCAGAAACAGGAGGAGCCAAAGGAGGCTCCGATGCTGTTTTTGTACTCTTAGAACAAAACAAAGGTGAAAGACCAAGTATGAACTTCTCACTGTTTTTCTTCAGAAATTCAACAAGGGAAATAAAATATTTCAGCACATAGGTATAGGAGGGGACTGCATCTTTCACACACGAATAGAATCATCTATAATTTCATGACCAGGACTTGCCCACATTCAGAAATAAATTCAGGTCATGATTTAAACACCATGAAATTAATAAATATTTACAATTTTCTACTGAGTGCAAATGGTGAATGATTTATTTAATATTTTAAAGTTCAGTGTTTTTAATCTCAGTGAACATATTAAAAGACAAATTAATTGCTACTATTCTTGAGTTTGTGCTGGGTAAATTGACAATGTGCTGATTGACTATCAGTCTCAAAGGGCTTTTTTTTTTTTTTAATGACTACTTTTTACCTAAATAACTGGACATGCATATGGATGTTGTATTAAAATAGCTCTGCAAATATTCACTAAGTAAAAACAAGCCATAAATATTTCCTCCCTGTCCAGGCTACTGGAAAGCAGCACTCAGAGAATAGACATGAAGAGCTATGGGAGACACATCTACATTAAGAAAGATTCGATGTTAATTACAAATAAATGGTGATTTGAAATTTTAAAACTGCAGTCATATCACCACCAAAAACACTGACAACAATCACAATATCTGTGGTCAGTTCTTCATCATTCATGTTAATACAGGGGTAAAATGGTTCCAAAGCTGTGTTTAAAGCATTATGGCTGTAATTCTCAATATCTGGTCTACAGAAAAGCATCACCAGCGTGATCATGGTCATCATGGAACTTATCAAAAATACAAATTCTTGGGCTCCGTCGTAATAATCAGAAACTCTGAGTGGGCCCAGCCGCCTTGGGAAAGACTAGCTTTTCAAGGCAGTTAGTGAGCATAAGGAGATGTTGCTTTGGGGTTATTGAACTATGCTTTCCTATTTTGTTCTAGAAAGTTCTGTTTTATCTAACACTAGCTGGGATCAAGAATGTAGCTGATCACTATTTCTTGGTCAAGGGCAGAACCTACATTCAATCTCACTATATTTCATTAGGCTAAACACTTATTTTATTCATTAGGCAATATGAGGCATATGTAGTGACAACAAGCTTTATGTGAGCCTATAAAAATGTTTGAGGTCAGAAGCAAATGATCAACTCCAAGCTGCCAAAACTCTACAATCTAAATTAATTTTCTAAATCAATATCTATTAAGTGTCAACATAATTAGTCATTTAAATTTAGTATTTATAAAAATTTCAGTATATTAGGAAACAAACTGGAGTTTAGATTATCTTATTAACAATAATTCTTGAGTATTCACAATGATTACCAAGAAATGATAGCCATGTTACTTGTAGTCAAATAATTTCAACATCAATTATTTTAACAATCACTTTAAAATTGATAGCAAAAACACATAATCAGGTTGGCAGGCCATTAATGCACTTGATAAAAGGTGACATGTGGCCTCCATAAGTGAGGCTGTAGATACAGCTGAAGAGTATCTAAAAATCATCCTGGTGGCAAATACAAAGGGTGAAGTTCTAGGCTTTTTCGTTCAAACCTGAAACTGGTATAAAGATCACTCCATGCCTACTAGCCAAGAGGGAACCTTCCTAATCTCAGTTGGTACAGTTGGTATTTAGAATGACTGACTTCTACAAAAACATTTTTTTTTCCACTAGCATAACTAGCCAGAATCACACCGGACCAATGTTAATTAAATCAGGAGAGAGATGGTCTTGACCATGGAGGTTGGCATTCTTGTCTTTCACATTTTCCTGTTACCTCTGTTCATATGCTATTTTCACTGGGCCCAGGGAGCTGCCATGGACTTGGGGAAATGACCTGTGTGAATGGGAGGGCCACTTTTCTTTTCCTGTTTGGCGGAATTTGTGTAAGGCACAAAGTTTATTGGCTTTATACAAGCCTCACTGAGGAGAGAGTTTTTTCTTCATGTTATCTAAAAATAATAGCAGTAATAGCTTACATTTGATAAACACAGATGTATGTACATTCTGAAACAGTAATAGATTATATTTAACAAACATACAATATATGAAAGAATGTACTAAATATGTTATATGCATTTTCAATTTTAATATTCACACACATTTTTGGGGGGTAGGTGACTATTCCCAATTAGAACTGAAGACAGAGATTGAGAGAAGCTGAATCACTTCCCCAAAGATGTAATCTTGTAAATGGAGATATATGACAAACAGAAACTTCACTTACATTTTTTTTAATCGTGGCAATAAATATATAACATACAACTTAACTACTGTAATTGTAGAGTTTAGTAGTGGTAATTTTATTCAGCTTGTACAACCATTACTGCCATCCTTTCCAAAACATCCAGAACTACTTGCAACTAAAATTCTTTACCCATCAACCAACTCATTTCACACTCCCCCAGTAACTACTTTCTGTCTCTATGATTAATTCTGACTACTCTGTGTAACTCATATGTATACATTCTTACCACATTTGTCTTCATGCAATTAGACTACTTCACTTCTGTTTTCCTTAAGGTTCATTCATGTAGCTTGTATCAGAACCCTCTTCTTATTAAGGTTGAATAAGACTCCATTGTATTGACATAGCCTATTTCATTTATCCATCACCTACTGGTGGATACTTGGGTCACTTCTAATTTTGGTTATTGCGGATAATGCTGCTATGAGCCTGGATGCACAAATATCTGTTTAAAACTCTGCTTTTGATTACTTTGGCATATATACATATCCAGAAGTGGAATTTCTGGTTCATACGGTGATTCTATTTTTACTTTTTTACTAACTGCCATACTATTTCAGAGCCTTTCCTCTTGACTACTAACGATTTACTGCTGCCATGCTGGCCACCAGGGTGTCCAAGTAGGCTAGCAATTAAGCTCTATGAAAGAAAGCATCAGCCTGATTAGCCATGACTCTTTGAATAGTTAGGAAACTTGCACTATGCTAAATATTTTATTCCTAAGGAAGCAAATGAATCAGGAAATAATTTCTATTAGGGTATCAAAATGAAAATCACACCAAGTAAAACCTTGTCTAACATACTCTGTGTAATATGTATGGGTATCTTTTCAGATACAATAGCACTTCCAAGAACTCTGAATTGGGTACTTATTTTTAAGTCATATCTTGGATGTGACTTTGGACATAGTCACCTCCTCCACTGTTCTTCAGTTTTTTGGAATAGGTGACATTAAGAGGCACAGTTGCTATGACTCTAGACATGTTTTTTCACTTCTCTGAACCTGTAAAATGGAGACAATAGTAAAACTTGTCTAATTGGTCTGTAGGAAAGGTTATGTGACTATAAGGTATTTAACCCAGTGCCTGGTACATTTCTAAGTATTCAGTAAAGGGAAGTTGCTATTGTGAATATTAATTTCAAGATTCTACATATAAAAAGTAGAAATATCGGTTCATATGAAGAGTAGCCAATGAATGTTGACAGTAGCAATATTCGTAATAGCCAAACTGCAAATAGTGCAGAGATCTTTCAACGAATCAATTATTAAACAGTGATATATCCACTATTTATCAATAAAAAGGAGCAAACTACTGATTGATACACAGAGCTTGGGAGGATCCTAAGAAAAGGATGTTGAGTGAGAAAAGCCAATCCCTGAAGGTTATATTCTGCATTATTTCATATGCATGAAATGTCTAGAAAGACAAATCTATGAAAACACAGTAGTGATTGGCTGAGGTCAGCATGGGTGGGTGGGGATTAACTGTAAACAGGCCTGATGCATGTTACTAGAGGTGATGAAAATGTTCTAAAACTGGATTTTGGTCATGGAAGCGCAGGTATATAAATTCATTAAAATTTATCAACCTGCATACTTAAAAATGTGTGACTTTCATGTACTTTAAGTATACCTTTAACAACCTGTTTTTAAAAGAGTATCTAAAATCTACATCTGAACAACTGTATTCTGTCATACGTCCGGAAACATAGAGCCACGTGCAATTTTTCACTCACCGAAGGATGCGCTGCTATATAACCATGTGCACTTTTATCTGAAAAGTAAAGATAAAGATGTCATTTTTGCCTCACTTAGAGAGCAAACTAAAAAAATAAAACTGCATATGTCTGACCAGAAGAAAATTCCACAACTCGGTCTTCACTGAGTTAGTCTGAAAAATGACATAATTTCCCCTTAAAATGCTGCCACCCTGACACCCTCACTGTGCTCTCCCCAAGGCATCTTGGAGACCGTAATGAAGACCCTAGATCTGATCTGTGTGCAGCAACTGAGACTGACGGTTTTCCATCATGTGATTCTATATGCAGGATCACTAGATCCCGGATTGATCTTTGGCTTCCTCTGCCCTTACATGCCCTCTCGCTTTCCCTTCCTCCCTTCATTCTTCTGCTCTTCCCATCCCCTCCTGCTCCTACCCTACTAGTCAGTCTCAACACTGAGCACATCTAAAACATGGTGAGTTTTCCTCAGCTCAGAATAGTGCAATAACTCAGATACTGTGGAGTCCTAACACAGTTTTCAGGATTTCATCTTTGTAAGTTAAGAAAATTCAACACAGAAAAAGAAAAATATTAAAAAACAGTGACTACTTGGAGTGAAGAATGCATTCTGAGAATCTGGAAGTTGTTAGTGCTCCTACTGAGTTGATTTCTTGAATGCTTTTCAACTATAGATGGCTATGATTCTGCAGTGAGCCTGAAGTACAGTTTTAGTTTTCTTCACAGTAAGCTGTGTCACCAAGATCTCCACCATTTTATTCCATGTAGAAGATTGAATGTTACAAAAAGCTCTCCTCAATGGCTTTTACTTTGTCTTAGGTTGTCACCATTGGATAATAGCATTTAAGAAATATTCTCATTTTAAAAAATCTCAGGTAGCATGTGTATTGCCATAAGCCTGTAAGTTTGGGTTTTGATGTTTGCTATGGCCAACTCAGATATCCTTCCCCTTCTAAGTATACCCTTACATCATTCTTGAAGAGATTTGAATTCTGCCCGATACTAAATCCAGTGCTAAGAGCTAGGGACTCCTTATAGCTGGGCCATTAATGATGGTATTTTCCTCTTTTGAAGTTAAATAAATTGTTCTAGGAAGCAAAGTAGGTAATATTTCTCAAAATGTAGAAGTGTTTGGTAAATGATTTTCAGATGCTTATCATGCAAATTTGAGTGTCAAAGCTTCAAACAATGGCCTACACACAACAAAGTCAAGACATGGTAATAAGAACAAGGTCATTTCAATCTTTGTAAAAAGCAAGCCAAGGATTCTCTGATTTTGTGATCTGATCAAAATAAGCTGGGAACCACAAAATATGCTCTGTGGCACTGTGCCATGAATCATTGAATCTAAGGGGTGAAATAAATTCTAAGAGACTATGGTTTGATCCACACACCTTTCATTTCATGAATATATCACAAGGCCTGGTGCTAAGCAACTAGATCTCTTTGTGCCCCGAGGGCACAAAACAATAATTGATTGCTGATGCAAACCAACAAATACTGCTCCATGGAACAATTTCTTTATCTGAGTTCTAAAAATACCCAAGTTCTGTAAATCTCCTAACATCAATTACACGGGAACTAGAAGTGACGTCAAATGCCCTGTGGATATCGGGTTCTAATCCTAAAGCTCTGAGACCAGAATTACCTCTTTACCTTTCGATACCCTAAGGTCTCTCTTACCTCCTGATGTAAAGCTCATGTACTTCTGGTTGTTGACAGTTTCTTTGGAATCATAGAATTTGAGAACGTCTAGAACAGCCTGAGGGTTCTTCTTCTGTTCCAGTTTTGTTATATTGGACGTTTGGAGTAACCGTGCCCACTGCTCAGGAATCCCCTGTGGACAACCAAAGGGAAAAATGGCTGCTCAGTACATTCAGCAGCTGCATTTTCATGTTCCAGTAAAGTTCTTCACCAAGAAGCCCATGCTACCTGTAGGATTACACTCGGGAAACTGAAGTTACACTCTAGATTTAAAGTTAGTAACTTAATAATGCAATCATTCTCTTCTCTAATTAAAACACATAGGTAAAACTAGGACCCAACTTAAAAAGGGTAGGTGGGAGTATGACTGTGATAGAAAAAAAAAAGCGCATGAAAATCACCTCCATATTAACTCTGCTCATCCATGAAATGATGTTTACGGCTTAGCTTATTTTTTCTGGCGACTCAGGGCAGACATAGCAAGACTTCTCTAAATTTGTGCACAACATAGTATAGTGCAGATCAATGGATCTTGTACGGCTGGAAATATATAAGCAGTTTCTGGGCATGTTGTAATCAGAATATCTTTTAGAATAAAAGGAAAGCCTCACCCTTGGTCAGTTTATGCTTTGTGATTACAAAATGCACATTTTTGGGTCTAGAGTTTCAATATAAAGGGGGGATTGAGAGGAACAAAAAATAGAAATTTGGAGGAGTAATAGCCACTGAGATGATACATAGTAAACATTAATGCTGCTTTGGGCGCTCTCCCTGCAGCGTTCTCCTCTCCTCCCCTCCTCTATTCCTCCCCGCCTTGTTCATTGGCCACATGGAACCTGGGGACTGTGGCAACCATGTCAAAGCCTTGGGAGGATTTACAATAATCTGAAGCTTTTAGAGCAGAGAGCACAGGATATTTAGAGATGTTAGCAAGGAGAATTGCAACCATTACACAAAGAGGTTGGTTTTGCATTGAGCATTCAGCCTTCTTTCCTAGATCTTCAGCCTCCAGCTGTCCCCATTTCATAATTATCCAACCTCCAAGAGCAACTTGGAGCAAGAAACAGGCACACGATTCCAGATGTGCATCTGGACACAATTTATGTGGTTTTGTCCTATGAAGTCTCGGCAAAACAATGTGTGACGTGGGCCTCCAGAGTTTGGGAATGACAACAAAAAAGTGAGATAAGCCAAGCAACAACTCTACTGCACACACATGAACCTGCTGCTGCAGTGCTATGACATCTCAAAGAAGCACTTTGATGCAAGCTTCTTTTGGGCCTGTGACGCACCTCTGGGAGCTTCCCTGGGCACATCTGTGAGCCATAGAGATCTGGCTGTAATGGACGTAAATAAAGAAAGAAAAGAAAGTTAAAACAGAATGTGGGACAACTTAGAAGGTGGGAGGAGATGAAACCAATGGGTCTGGATGGGGTGGGGAATCCCTTTTAAAGTGGGGGCGTTTGTGAAAATAGGGAGGTATTAACTAAATTGGGGGGGGGCAGGACAGGCTACAGGACAACAGATTTAAGAAAACAGAGAAAACGACAATGTTGCAAAGTTTGGAATGTGTAATTCCACTTTTGGCCAGATGCTTCCTCCATAAATATTAAGAATTGCCATTAAATGACTGGAGAAATTACCAGAACGCAGAAACATGAATTTGGAGGGAAGAAGGATGGCATCATGAAAAGCTTCCATGATAATTTGTAAGTCGTTTTAATATTGTGCCGATCACAAGTGGCCATTGGCCATGTGATGAACTTACAAATTTCAGTTCCCAATTCTGGTTAACCATTTTCAGTTTCACATTGTAAGTGTCAGTATGGCTAAAATTCAAAGGATATCTATATGGTGGCACTGAATTTAACATTTGTTCTCATGGACTGGAGTATTCAATACTTGGTAATTAAAAACCATGGCTGGCTTAGAGAAAACTAAACTAAGGATTTCTCACACAGCCAGACTCTGAGTTTCTTAGGTATTTAGAGCAGGGAAAGGGAAACCATTTCATTTCCAACCATATATGAGTAATTTCTACTTTAATGCTGCAATTCTGAAGTCCCACGTCCCGCAAAATAAGGTCAGATATAAGGTAACAGCTTTGTCTAAATAAAGATATTATCTCCAATGCTTCACAAACATGCTTTCACCAAACTGGTTTGATCTGGGATATGCCTTTGATTCCCTGCATTTGGGGTTACTGGAAGCACGGTGAAACGACACTTTTACATGCATTCATCACGCAATTTGATGCTAAAGCCTTAAGCCAAAAATTTGAACTCAGGAGCCCATGCATGATCCCAGTTCTGATTCTAAGTGCAATTAATAGCATTTGGTTAATACTGTAATGGCCAAAGGAGTTATTAAGTGTTACAAAACCAGGTATGCATTGCACATAACCACTAGAGCAGACATCACTGGCATGATCACTACCATAATCGTTAAAATGTTCGCAGTTATTATATATTCTCATGGCACTTTTAAACTTTTGTGATAGTCTTTTAATCACTAGACAGCAGGGCAAACATGCTGTCATTTGCAGAAGATCTTTCAGACAACTATACTTACCATATAACTACACTGCTGGCATAATTTCTCTTTTTAAGTTGAGATAAACCAGTTAATAAAACCTGACATTTAAATTTGAATGCATGCCACAAAGGCACATAATCAGAAAGCCATCCATTACTCCAAATTGAGATACAAATCCCCAAAGCTAGACAGCTAATGGAGACCTATAAGTGAGCATCAGGAGCAGGAGCACTTATCGTTGCCTGACCAGGTATACCGTTACAATTAGATGTACATCAAGCTGGGGATTGTCCAGTGTTGCCCAGGAGAATGGCAGCATGAAACAACAGGCCAAGCATTTGTCATAAGAAACGATAATTTATATCACTCATACCATTTTTCCCTCTGATTGACTTGAAGCGACCGTCACAGGTCTAGAGGTCTGGAAGGGGGAGTTCTGAAGTATTTGGGACAAAAATGGTAATATAAAGGGTAAGGACTTGTAGTAGTTCGCAACCAAAAATCTCACCTCCCAACATCATGTTAATCTCAGGGCCCCAGGATATCATCAGGCGTATAAGGTTATTTGGGTTCAATTAACCACAGGACAATCATCAAGCCACACAAGGTCAGTGTCAAAATATACAAAATAACACGTTCTTGTAACGCAACTGGGTGGCAGTTCAGCAAATTGCTCATAATTCACCCTCAACAACTGTAATCATGAAATGTAGCAATATGGCCCCTCCCCCTCCACATATGCATAATGAATTAGTGGTACTCTGGCTATTAGGCCACAATTCTAAATCCTACTGATAAAATGACTTCTAAAAGATTATTATTTGCACTTTTAAAGGTTAGTAAAAGTAAAACAGGTTATTTTTCAAAAGCATAACTTGGCATCTTTAAAAATGTTCAGATAAATATTTTAAAAAACCATTAAGGTAATACTAACGTGCATCAGATTTCCTAATGTAGCCTATGTTTTATCTATGTGTTGGGTGGATTTATAACAATGGTGTATATCCAAGCAGCTGCTTTGTTTCAAATTGAGTTTTTGGGGCTCAGGCACAGATTTTTGCTGTTTGTTTCAGTTATATCAAACTCTTTTTCATGATTGCTAAGACTGCCTATCACAAACCCCACCCAGCCTTCTCTGTTAGTTATTTGTGTTCTAGATGGCAATGTGAAAGTAGTTCATCTACCGTGAGCAGATGATGGTGATTCACTTTCTTTCATTTCCATCCAAAACCCATAAAGAACAAAGAAAGTGCTAAAGTAGAGAGATTGTATCGTAAAATGTCCAGCAAGTTGGAGTGAGTAGAAAAGGAAAAAACTGAAAGGAACCAGTGTGTCACATGAAAATAGTGGAAGAGTAAACTTTCACATTAGAAAATGAAAAGGAAGAAAAAAAAGTGGAGAAAAATATGTAACATTAAAAAAAAATTACACAGAAATGAAAAGATCACAGCTGAAAAGATAAAGTTCTCAAAAGGGAAAGATGATTTGACATAATTTTTTTTTAAAGATTTATTTATTCGTACAGAACTGGGGTACAGGCCAGAGATGCGGAGGGTGAGAGGATTCACCAGAGACAGAGTGGGGAGCAGAACAGGCAGATCGAGGAAGTACACTGCTGAGGGGAGCAGCGGGCGGGTCAGGAGAGGTCTGCCACACCATGTGGTCGCCTCCGGGGCAGGCGGGAATCGAACTCATGCGGAGGTGGCTTTAGCTTCTCAGTGCGGTGCTTTAACCCGCTGCGCCACCAGGGAGGGCCGATTTGACATAATTTTTAATGAGTAAGTGCTTTTACTGTTTCACATGTCAGATAGCCACCACCATTTTTAATCTAAAATTAGCCAGATTAAAAAATAATTTTGGTGGTGGTAGTTATATATTTTCTAAGTGTAGCTAAGTGAACACTCTTGAATATAGTAAAAATCAGTCTGGGCTCAAACTCAAAGCCATTTGTATAATGACTCTGACTCCATTGATGAAATCAGTCAAATCCTACCAGTTTCTAAACTTTATCAAAGTCAATACTTTTTAGTGTTCTGTTTGCTACTGCAAACACAGATAACCAGCTCACTTGACTTTACAAGGCCAAGATGTTTACTTAATTTCCATTTCATTCTCATATTGTTTTCTTCTGGAATTGAAAAAATGAGATAATATGGCTGTCAATTCAGATACATGGTTTGTTTTTCCAAATCAAATTTATTTCCTTTTTTTTTTCACTTAATCATATCACATGGTTTACTCACCACCAACCATCTTATTACAAAATAGGATAGTCATTTATTAATGTCTAAAAGGGCAGGTTATTGTAAAAAGGGAAAGGACACTTGCTTATTGAATATTAAAAAAAAAACATCAAGATGATACTAAAGTACATCAGATTTCCAAATTTAGCCTATGTTTCATCTATGTATTCAGTGGGCAGAAAGAGCTTCTGATATTCAATTATTTAATGCCTAAATTCCTCTCTGGCTTAAGAATGCAAGATTTCATGGTGCTAATTTTATCAAAGTTTTTTTTTTCTCTATGCATTCAGAAATACTCATTATCTTGAAATGCACACTTTAACTAAGTTCTTTACTACAGTGGAAAAAGGTACTTGATATTGCAGACATGTTTCTACACGATTTTCCTTCATCATCCAAGAAAACCCAGATTTTTTTTTAAAGTATAAAATATCATAGATGTGAGATCTTTTACTATTGAGCACTACAAATATCCAAGCAAAGGCTGGATCTGTCCCTGTGGTCTTTCCAGAGAATGCATATTGGGGGTTGTGTATATTGTGAGCATAGCACATATGTCAAGTTTATATGGAAAGTAAGTACATAGCCACTAAATCATGCATGATATGTCCATTAATATTTCCTCCTGAGACATAGCATTTATTTCTGAAAGTCTAGAAAATATACCTGTTAATAAGCTTTAAAATAAACTTATGTCTTAAAATCAAAGGTAGGAATATGTAATTTTACAGAGAGATTTGATTATCAACATTAGCTGACCTGGGTAATCCAGGTTCTGATGTAAATCCTGAATTTTTCAAATAGATTGTCTTCACTGGCCAAGTTGAATAGATGATTCTGTGATTCACTTTAAATGATAATAAGCTCAAGTGGGAATATCTATTAGAAGTGCATCTCCTGCACCTTGGTAAATTAGCATTTTGGACCTAATTTTAAAGACTAAATGTGATCAATCTTTTTATTAGAATAGATAAAATACTCTTGCCACTCTAGTTCAGTCTGTTATGGTTTAGGCAAAGTCCATCTTGAAATTATCAAAAACATCAAATCTGACATTTTGGGAAATGGTGATTCTTGACTGAAACCTATTTTCACAAAGGACTTTTTTTCATGGCTTGCAAAACATAATCAGGGGCTTACTTACAGTGAATTCCCCGGTGACTGCATCAAACCCCACATGAATCGTATGCTCAAAGTCTGAAGGAAGAGAGATCTCTGGGCGTTCTTTCTCTTTCTTCTTATTGGCTAAAGGCAAAATGTTAACATGTATTTATTTGAGATATAATTATAGTACCCATATGTTGTACAATCAGATTTATCAAAAAAAAAAAATTACAAAACTGAAAGACAACTGAATCCAGCACAGTTTTAACATTTACACCAGAAGCAATCATTTTATTTGAAGAAGTGAGTGACTGAGAGTTTTATAAAAAATATTATGTCCAAAGAACTTACAGATTTCTAAAATCCAATTCAAACAAAATTTACAGTCAAACTACTTTATGTCCTTTACCAGCGTAACAATATAACTGATGCATATCTAAGGATGTTGTACTTTTTTGTCTTTGTTGGATCAAATTTCCTTACTAAAGAAGAAATTCATTATACTCAAGCCAAGACTTATTACTAGAAAGAATAGAAAAGAACTTATGTATGAAAGTTCTGTGAATTGTTTCCATGTTAACCAGTTGCTAGAATGTCTTTATGTTTCCATTATGTAAGCATATCTTGATACATCCCATCTTCTTTCATTGAGAATACTGTCAATCACTGTTGCATATTTTTATCATTAAAATGTTTTAAGTAACTTTCTACCCAGAATTTTGTGAATAAAACATAAATTTCTGCTTTTTACTGAATTGCAATTCTAGTTTATAGCTATTTTTCCCATGTTCCTATCCTGCCACATTAGCTTTTCAAAAATCATTGTTCTCAAGTAGATTTTTCATAGTAATACAAGAATGAATAAACCTATCGATAATAAAGTTAAAAATCTTGTAAAGATATAAACACTGAAATATAATGAAACCAGTATACCTCAAAATAGACCCAGGAGGAAGTTACTGTGGAACATTGTAAAATGACATTGGGTAGCTTCCATAATAGACCTATCAGCAGACTTAGCAGATTGAGAATGTATCTCTGATAAGGTTGTATTTCACAGTCAAAAGATAAAAACCGTCTTGGTCTTGGGCAAGTCAGCATGAACCAGGAGTACCCAGTTGAAACCAATCACCTTCAACTTGCCAAGGTGGCCAAGTTAGCACAGTATGGCTCAGACAGACAATGTTCCATCAACTATATGTAGCTTACTGGTTTTGTGGGTTACCCATGATACATTTTAAGTCCCAAAACTTTCATGGTAAAATGCCATTCTTATGGTTCCTTTTCTCTATGAGGCAGACATACAGAAATTCAAGTAGCTAGAGGATGAGGGCACGGGATTGAGAAAGTTTGCTGGTGGCAGGGACAGGAGTTACTTAAACCCGTTGTCTGGCCACGGAACACATGCATCCGTTTTGAAAAGTACAATGTGCCAGCTGACGTACCTTCAGTAGGTTTCTCTTTTTATAGCAACCTTGCTTTACTGATACAGCCTAATTGAATGATGAAGTTTAGAGCTTTCAGTCGGCACTCATACTTCATCAGTGTATTTGTGGACATTTAATACTTGCTTAAGTATCATTTTTTTCTTGTTCAGAAAGACTGTACATCACCTTTCTTTTCTTGCCCTCACTGAAAGTGTCCTAGATAGACGTGTAAACTTTTTCTCACTTCCCCATTTTCCTGATCTCCTATCCATGTAGGACATGGCTGTGCCATCTCTTCTTACTTCCTGGACAATATGATCTCATTCTCCTCCTACCTTAGTGGCCACTTCCTCTCTGGTTATTATCACAGCTTCTCTTTCTGCAATTCCTACTGCAGTCTTCATCCAGTTGCAATCCTTTCCTCGTGGAGAGCATCCACTCAGTTATTAACTCATGTTGGGTAATTCCTTAATCTATGGTTGGCAGGAGTGGTTCCAGATTCTGTGGCACTAAATACATTATAGAGCTTGCAAGGAAGGCTCTAAGTAACAATAAGAAGTTTTAGGGTCTTAGACGAATACCAGACAACTGAGGAACTATGAAGAAGCAGCTTTATTCATCTCAGAATAAATTAAGTCCTAGTGGTCGGTGACCTTCTTAGGGTCAAAACTATTCTTCAGAAAAATCTGCAAAAAGCTATGGAACTCTGCTTATAAAACTTACTCTACACATACATCATTTTGCATATAATTTTACAAGTTCAAAAATTCCCCTAGACTGCAGGTTAAAAGAACCCCTATCTTCATCTCTATCTTCAATCACTATGTCTACTTGCATTCACAATCTCTTGCCAGAAAATGGACTCTCCCTACTTCCCTGTTAGTACTGACTGTTCATTTGAAGCAGATCAACTTAAACATAAGCACTTCACTAGGGCTGAGAAGGCTATTTGATGTCCATCTATTACCAGTCTACTCATGTCATTCCCTTCATTCAGGGCTAAGCATAGCAGAGGCAGGAAGTCCCAACTTGCTTTTCCTCCAGTATCCATGTACTCAGTGAAACACCACTATCAGTCTAGAATAGAATAGGGTTAAGGCCTTACACTTCTCCTTGAGCAATGAAATATTATGAAAATGTCCAATATGTAATTCAAATAAAAACAGTACTAAAGCAAAGCAAAGAAGATAAAAAAGATCTGATGATTAATGTCTTTTGAAAAGCTACATTCACAATAAAAATGGCTCCAAATTTTGGGCGCCCTTGATTTGCTGGACTTTAAGCACAAGCTTTCTCTGGTTATTAGGTAATCCAACCCTGCTCCACTACTCAAGTCACAGATTTAGGACTCATTTTTTATTCCCACTTTAATTCTACATTAATCAGTCTCTGAGTTCTTGGTTTTCTATCTCCCAAACTTACCTTGAAGTTTCTATATCCACTATCATGTTCACCCAAGGCACCAGCATTTTCCAGATATCCTCACTGAATCCAATTTGCACCCTGCCATTCATTTCTCTACCCTGTGAGCAATCTTTTGAAGTGTACAGACTTGGCCATATTCCTGCCTTTGTTTAATATCTTCAACCTCAGGAAAACAAACTCTGAGTAGTCCAGCAGAGCCATTTAATATGCCTCTCATGCTTTCATTTGCCCTTCATATTTCTGAACCTTCAAAGAGAAGGCTGCTTAGCATTATGTCACCATAGAAATTAATAGGTTCTTTTTCCCTTTTGATTCAATGAATGCATAGTCTCATAAATTTCTTGCCTCTCTTACTGAAACCCCCTCAATTCATAATAAAAATTTCTGTACCCTTGGGAGAAAAATGGCTGTATTGCTTGTATGTTAGAAGTTCATACTCTTTACCATGCTGACTAAAGCCTGCGTCACCTGCTCCAGCTCACCTGTCCATTGTTTATTCTTGTGGCCCACACTGTCCCATACACATTTCACGCTCCTTAAATTGCCAAGTTTTCTCTTACTGCCAAGTTTTACATACTTGATCTAGACCTCAAAAGTCTTGTCAGCTCCCATACTCCCTGGCAGTTGTGTGAATAAATCCTTATTCTTGAAGAATCACTCCTCTTGGGCTTCCTCAACTCTGCCAAGTCTTTCCCTGTCTTCCCTCTGCAGACAAAGTAAATGCCCTCTTCAAGTTCTCACAGAGCTAACCAGTGTATACTCTGAGCTTGGTACCTAGCAACACTTGATTATTGTTGCTTTTCTACGTATCTAGCTCACTAGCTAAAATGAGAGGTAACTGACTTTCTCCTTCTCACTTTCCCTAGAGCCTGGCTCAGATCTACGTGCTAAGTAAATATCATGTATGGAACATGTGCAAAGTGCTCTGTGTTCATCTCATTTCATCTCCAACACAACTATCTAAGGTAGGCATTAATACTGTATTCTTATTTGTAGAAAAAAATGAGACTGTGAGGTAAACCTCATACCTACAGCTACAGAGCTGGCACATGGCAGTCAGCATGGGCCTAGGTCCCATTGTCTATATACTGCATACTACATATTACACACTACTAACTACACTATTTATCAGTCAGGACCATGAACATTCAACAGGTTTGAGCCCTAGGACTCAGTAAATACTTGCTGGTTAAATGGAGTCTACATAAGAGGTTTCTTATTTTTGAAAAACACTAAAATATCCCACCACCCCCCAAATTCTGTCAACATTATTTATATTCAGATCCCACCTCCCCTATATTTTGAAGTGATAAGACTCACTCTGATCAACTCTGAGCTGATACTGGCCCACAGCAGAAAACCAGACAACAGCCGCTTTGAAGCCCACTGCCCATATTCTACTGGAACCTGGGAGAGAGGTCACAGTCTGGTCACTAGGCTACGAACAACAAACAGAGCCCGGCCTTGGAGCTCTGTGTATGTGTTGTGTTTCTAATTCTAGGTGCCCACTAGTCTCTTCAGACTCTCTCATCCTTAACATCTTTCCCATCTCACTATATTTTAACAAAAGAAAAATCCCTGTAGTTGCCTGTCACCTATTTCCCCCATCCAAGCTTTCTCCATTTCCTCTAGTTGCTAGAGTCTCTCCCATAACAAATCTGTCTACACCTTCAGCTTCTTAGCTACTTGGTATGTTCAGTTTCTGCCTTTGGCTCTCAAACTTCACTGTGCTTCCCTCCCATCTGGAAAGTTTAGACGGCTCTATCAGACCCCCCAGCCCCAGAAATTCAAACCCATTTACTCTGAGGTTGACTCTGGCAATTTTATTTATCAAAGTTGCTTGGGGTCTGGGTTTGAGAAAAACAGCTTTAAACTCTACTGTCATCTAAGAACAGCACTTCATCAGATAGTCCTGCTGGAAGCTGCTCATTCTTTGATATCCCAAGTCCAAAGGCCTGAGGGAAATGAGGGCAGAGTTTTGTTCTTTTTATTCCAATTAGCTTGTGATCAGTGTTTCTGCACTTGCCTACAAAACCCATTTGAGGGTTTGTGTTGACATATCATTCTCCGGGCCAAGTCTCCTTACCCACTGGAGGGATTACCTCCCAGTTTCCCTTAGCAGCCTCAGTGAAACGTAATATACAAATGGACACCTCTTACACAGCCTTTCCTTTTAAGTCCTTGACCTCCCTCAACATCACCTCCTTTTCTCTTCCACAATCTACTGTCACAGTCACCTTTGAAATCAGTAGTTCTCAACAAGGGATGCATGAAAATAATCTACAGAAC